CCTACTGTATACCTGGAGGGTTAGTGTCCTTTTATTTGTAGAGCTAACGTGAGAGGAGCCTATTGCATCATAGAGATATTTTTGTTAGAAAAACAGATACTGTTTGACATAACTGAAGCTTTCTCTCCCTCCACACTGACACATCGACTCAGCATCCCTTCTAAAACTACTGCAGATACTGCACACTGACCCACCCTCCTGCGGAAGTGCTCTTTCCCTCTGCCCTAGGCTTGTGGACAGGGTCAGTGAGATTTTAGTATGCGAGCCCTTTAGATTTCAAGATTTTTAGATCATATTTTTAGGTCAGGGTTACCAAGAGGAAATAGACTGAACCCCTCACTGTTGTTGCAACATTTCTTCTTGCTCCTGTTCATTAAAAACAGGAAAGATACCTACTCTTCCTCCTCTTTAACTCACTCTGGATCTCAGTTCTTTGGATGTTGAGATAGGAGCGGAGGGGCTGCGTCCCTGGCACCCGGCCGCCCACATGGCTAGCCTATGCCCGAAATAATTACACGGAAACTGTATTCTTTCAAACACTGCCTGGCCCGGCTAGTTTTAGCTTCTTATTGGCTAGCTCTTACATATTGTTCTAACCCATTTCTAGTATTCTGTGTAGCCCACGAGCTGGCTTACCAGGGAGGATCTTAACCTGCATCTGTCTGGAGAGGGAGAATCATGGCGACTCAAAAACTAAGCTTCTTTTTCCCAGAATTCTCTTCTGTCTACTCCGCCTACCTAATTTTCTGTCCTATGAGGGCTGAGGCAGTTTCTTTATTATTAACCAATGAAAGCAACAGATAAGATACAAGACCCACCTCCATCATTTGGAGACAGTAGTGATGTCATGCTTTTGTTTCCATTCTCTCTCTCTCTCTCTCTCTCTCTCTCTCTCTCTCTCTCTCTCTCTCTCTGTCTCCTGATTCCCTAGTTGTTGAACAATTCAGCACAATGCATACTACCCTGTCTGTTTTTGGCCACTCTACCTCCATTCCTTTTTTGGGGAAAGTGTGGCATGTGTGTGCATGCATGCATGTGTTCATGTATGCATATGTCTGTGTGTGCATGCATGTGTGTGTTCATGCCTCTGTGTGTGTGGCAATGGGGCTCACAGAGAGGCATTCTCACAGAGGAGCTAGGATAATGGTAATTGTGTGACAGAATCTGGTTCACCTGGGAGATGGGCCTCTGGCGATGCCTGTGAGAGATTATCTTGATTAAGTTAACTGATGTGAAAAAAAAATCAATCTTAATTATAAACGGGACAATTCCCTGAGTGGAGAACCTGGACTGAATGCAGTGGAGAAAGTGAGCCGACATTAGCGCACATTTCTTCCTCTGTTTCCAGGTTAGGAATACAGTGTGACTGGCTGCTGCAAGCTCCCTCTGCCTTGACTTCCTGCCATGGTGGACTATGTCCTAGAATTGACATAGAACAACCCATTTCTCTCTTAAGCTGCTTTTATCAGAGTATTTGGTCACAGCAGGGAAAGAAGCTAAGACAGGAGCCAAGTGCTTTCTCCCAAGGCAGTAACAGGGTGCGGCATCAGGAGCACTGCGTCATCTGGCTTCTGTCTTGCAGAGACAAGCTGGCTCTTGACGTCAGCTTCCAGGGGTGTTTCCTGCAGTTTCCCCACACACTGCCCCTTTGCTTAGCTTAACCAGAATTAGCATGTGACATAGAGCATATTAAAAATCAAACAAAAGTCCAGGCAGTGGTGGCGCACGCCTTTAATCCCAGCGCTTGGGAGGCAGAAGCAGGCGGATCTCTGTGAGTTCGAGGCCAGCCTGGTCTACAAGAGCTAGTCCCAGGACAGCCAGGGCTGTTACACAGAAAAATCCAAAAACAAAAAAATTAAAAAAAGTCAAATAAAGGGAACAGAACCAACTGAAATAAGAAGAGCTTTCTTGACCCCCATCTTTCTTTCCAGTGACATCTGTCTTCTCCCCTTCATGGCCGAGCTTTAGTTGACTAGGTACACACCATGTTGGTGTCTCCTCTCCTAACTATTCCTCTACCCATTCCAGAAGTGTATGCCTCCAGCACCTCTCTGAACAATATGCTCTAGTGCCCTGGGTCACCCCGGTATAGTTGTTTTCTTATATCCGGTCTGGTTCTCAGTCCTTGCCACTTGATCTCTCATCACTGGGTTTCTAAGCCTTTCTCTCACTCACTTTTTTAAAAAAGATTTTTATTTCTTTATTATGCACACAGTGTTCTACCTGCACACTTCTACCTCGAAGAGGGCACCAGATCTCATTATAGGTGGTCGTGAGCCCCCATGTGGTTGCTGGGACTTGAACTTAGGACCCGTGGAAGAGCAGGCAGTACTCTTAACCTCTGGGCCATCTCTCCAGACCCATCTCATTCATCTTTTTCTCTGAAGATCTTACCTCTGAGACATTAGAGGTCACCCCTGCGTCTATGATGCTCAGACCTCCTAAGGAACTCCTGCTTCTCTACTGAGTGACACTGTCTCAACGTGCCTGCTCTGAGCTTCTGAGAACATTCCATGACTGCTCCTCTCAGCAAACGACACTCGGCCCACATGGTTACCAAGCCAGGTACACCTCCCCTTACCACAATGCTCCACAATGCTCTACATTCCTCCCCACTCCCAACAGTCCTGCGAGTACCTCCAGATCCCAGCACAGGAGGGACTTGGTAAATTGTGATCAGATGAGTGACAGTGGCAAGAGCATTGCACAGAACACTTTCACAACGCCAGCCTCCTCACAGTCATGAGATAGGGAGGCAATTACCATTGCTTATCAGATGAAGAAACTGATCCCAGAGAGATGAACAGTCTTGCCTGGGTGTGGGACCAGGGTAAAGGAACATGCTGGAAGTTAGAAAGTTGGAGGTTGGTGTAGGAGGTCCTTCTGTCTTTGTGTTGCTTTCATTGGTTAATAAAGAAATTGCTTTGGGTCTGTTGATAGGGCAGAACTTAGGTAGGCAGGAAGATAGAACTGAATGCTGGGAGAAAAAGGGTAGAGTCGGAGAGAAGCCATGGATCTGCTGGAGACAGAAACTGGGAATTTTACCTGGTACGCCACTGCCATGTGGCAATACACAGATTAATAGAAATGGGTTAAATTAAGATGTAAGAATTAGTCAATAAGAAGTTAGAGCTAACAGGCCAAGCAGTGATTTAATTAATGCATATCCTGTGTGATTATTTCAGGGCTGGGTGGCCGGGACAAACAAGCAGTCCCCTTCCTGCAACAGGAGGTCCCTATCCCAGGCATCTCCTTGATAGCCTGGGAAAGGAAGAGCCAGGGCAGCCTCCTTGCCAAGTCATGGGACCAGTGAGCCAAGAGGCCAAGAACTAGGTGATGCTCAGAGGTCCTGGTGGCATGGTCCAATCAGCCCATGCCTGTGTCTATCTAGTATGGCAGACATCTATTGACATCCAACTCTGAGCAGGCTTCCTTGGAGCACACATGGCAAGGCTCTTGTCAGGATGCCCTGTTACCTAGGATCCCAGGGCATGGGGGTCTGGGTCTGGCTCTCAGTGTAGCTACATTTCCTTTACCCCTTCTGGGGACTCAAGTGACTTCTCTGGAAAGGGAGTATGAGCACAAGAAGAGTGGTGGATTCTGGGAAGGCCGGGCATTGGCTAGTGTCACCTGGCACAGAAATCTTCTCTAGGCTCTTTGGGCAGGATCCCTCAGGCAGGCTGAGAGAAGTGTGGAAGCCAGAACCTGTTTCTATGGTGCTCATCTCTTCCTGGATGGCTGCCTTCCTGAACTGGAGAGAACATGTTGAGGCCCCCGGTGGAATCTAGGTCTTTCTGAGACGATAGAGATCCCCCAACTGGGTGAGACACAAAGATGGTGTTGTCCGGAAGGAGTCTAGACAACCACGGGCAAGTTGGAGTCCCCAGGGCTGCTGTCAACAAAGGAGGGCCACACTGGAACTCAGAAGCCCAGGCTCCTCTTACCATGTGGCCCAGGGTACCAGGAAATCTTTGAGGGTGGACTAATGGAGTGGTCTGGCCAGATCTAGGTGGGGTGGCTTATTGTCCTGTGTGTCTGGAGATGTGGATGAAATGTCAGGGGGCTCCTAGGTCTCCTAAGAGACCAGGTGTTTCTGGAGTCTATAGAGTTTTTAGGAAGGGACAGGAAGGACCAAGGAAGAAAATATCAATGTTTCCGGAAATTATAAGAGAAGCATTTAGCAGTCACTGTGTATGTCAGCTCTTAGCATCCCTGAGGCAGGCTGGGAAACTGGAGGCCTCAGTTGGATTGGGTCAGAGGGCAAGGGTGGAAGTGGTCCTGCACTTCCACAGGTGGCAGGATATCAAGAAAGCTGACCTTGAAGGACGTGGCTGAGAAAGTGACTTTGGAGAAGGAGACCATGAAGTTGGGCGCCTGGGGCCTGGGCAGGTGCCCTGAGGCCTAGACTGGGATCCTAAACCAGAAAGGCCTGGGCTCAAGGTTGGGTTTCTCCCCGAGGTGAGTGTAGAGCTGAGAAGATAGTATTGTTGGATGGGGGGGCAGATGATTCCCTAACCAGTGGCTGTACAAGGTCTCAAGAGAGTAGGACCTGGGGGAAAGGTTTCTAGAGCAGGGTCTGAGGCCCAGAGCTGTGAAAGGAAGGGCAGGATGAGAAAGAACACGGGGGCAGATCCTTGAGGGTCTGCAGATCCTGGTGCCAGAGGGAGGAGTTGGGGCGGGCAAAGCTCTGAGGGATCTGGAGGATTTGAGGAGCTAACCATGAAATGTGGGAGGTGGTGTGACTGGGACCCGATAGTGGCGCCCTTTGGGGGTGGGAGACTGGAACACACCGGTCGGCCATGTCCAGAGGGCTGCAAAGATGGAAAATTCCACAGTGGGGAAACCGCCTTGAGGAGGGGTCGGGAAGGGGGGGTGGGCTGTGCGCCCTTGAGGGCGGGGCCTAGAGGAGTGGGCGTGGGGGCTGGGCCGAGACAGGGGGCGGGGCCGGGGTGCAGAGGCAGTGGAGAGGCGGGGCGCGCTCAGGTGAGAGAGCCGCTCCCCCCAACCCCAGCGCCCCTGCACCGGGTACCAGCGCCAACCTCCCTGTCTGCCCCTCGGCAGTGAGGGCTCCGCTGTCGACTGCACCTCGGCTGGACAGACCCGGTGCGGCCCCGGCTCCATCTTGGCGCCTGGCACCTGTGGCGACAGCAGGCTCAGCGCTTCGGTCGGCCTGCGCGGCCCCTGCGGCGACAGGGTGAGAGGCTAGCCCTGGCGGGTGCCAGGGTGGGGTGGACGGCGCCCCCCTTCCTGCAACCCTGAACCCACTCCTCATCGCTGCCTGCGCCGCATTCCTCCGCACTGTCGCCTCCCCTTGCCCTCTTGGGTCCTCTTTTCCGCGTCTCCTCTGCCCAGCCTCCGGTTTTTTGTTTTGTTTGTTTGTTTTTTGTTTTTCTCGGCTCCGGACCTGTGTCCATCGGCCTCCGCCCCGCTTCTCTTTGCTTCTTCCCTCCCGGTTTCCTCCTCTCTTCATCCGCATCCCCCACCCTGTCTTCTGTTGCCAGCACCCGCCCTCTTCTGCCAGGGAGCACCTCTACTCGCGAGCTCCCTGCCCCATGTCCTTTGAGCCACCGTCTTTGTCCTGGAAAGGTCTGTAGCCTAGTTCCGAGGCTTATGTTGGGTCCTTCTTCCTGAGACCCCAGTGGGCTTTGCTGTGGAGGTGCGGGGAAAGGAGTCCTGGCCAAGGAGGTTGCGTGGTGTGTGGTGCGTTCAGGCCTTTGCCCGCAGCAGGGGCGGCCTGTGTTTGGCGTGCGGACTGCCGCTGTGTGTACCAATGCTCTTTCCTACAGGCTCACACTGCATATCGGCCTGAGCCTTGATCTCTGGGGTGACCACTGTGAGGCATGTGCCCATGCTGGGGAGTGCAGGTAGGATCTCAGGGGCCACAGGGGCTGCTTCCATGCTGTGACAGCAGACCCACTGGAAGCTCCTCTGAGGGAGTGATCAAACCATCACCACCGGGCCAGGCTCAGGCTTAGGCTCGGGGACTCCTAGGGGTTTAGCTCTCTCAAGGGCGAGCAGGGTGGCATCTTGGAGGTTGTTGCCCCACACTTACCCCAAGAACCTGTTCCCAGCATTCTTCTGTCTTTAGACACTATGTTCTCTGGATGAGGTTAGAAGCTACGAGGGACTAGTTTTAGCCTCGGAACTCTTTTAGAAATATTCCCAGCTGCCTTCCCCAATTTTGGCCTGAGTGTTCCTGTTAGACCCTTAATTTGCTCTGGAAATGGATCAAACCACCTGCCGTTGGTGGCCACACCCTTCTGTACAAGGGACTTGAGGGATTTGTAGGGGTATCCCTTCCTGGTCCTTGAGTAACTTCTGTATTTTAACTATGGCTAGTCCTGGTTCTACCCTCACACCCTGCTCCTCACGTTTGTGGCTTTCTGGATACAGAGGCTGCCATCTACTCATCTGCTGCTTAAGTGAGCACCTACAAGGATGACATGGTGTGGCCTACGGTGGGCCCCTTTAGAAGTCTGTGTGGGTACATCCCAAGGGTCTAGGCTTCTCAGATGAGCCGAGAATGGGACCAAGTAAAATCAGCAGTCTCAGGCTGGGCTAGTCTGCAAGTTTCTGAAAATTTGGTGGTGGTGGTGGTGGTTCTTATTCAAAATGACAATGATTGCTTGCTGTATGTGAGGGTGGTTGATTCTTTAGTTGTTGACAGTCGAGCAATGACAGACCACGTGACACCAGCCACAGCCATTATGACTGATACATTAAGCAAGGCCAGAGAAACAACATCAAGGAAGAACAGTATTACTCAACATGAATGCTCTTGGATATGTGTGCCTTTTATGTCATGCTGAAACATCTCCCCAGGAGAGTGTCTTTGTGTGGGGATGTACAGGTGAGTGTAGGTGTCTATGGGAGACCAGAGACATCTGATCCTTTGAAGCTGGAGTTGCAGGTAGCTGAGAGTCACCCAACATGAGGGGTGGGAGCCAACTTCAGGTCCTCTGCAAGAGCGGTGTGTATCCTTAACCACTGAGCCACCGCTCCAGCTACATCCCAGGATCTCTTTTGGGTAAAACTAGAAGCTGCCCATGACTGTAACATGACTTTTTAGGCATGCGGCATGTACACTTCAGCATATGCATAGTCTGCCTAGGTGAAAGTTTAAAATAGGCCCTGGGCAACTACGTGATAAAATAGGCACTGGGGAAACTGGCAATGTCACAGGATAGAGTAAGGGAAGCAAGAATTAAAAGATGAAGCTTACCTGTTGAGCATGTTGGTGGTTTCCCGAAAGGGTATCATTGCTTCTAGAGCATCCCTAGTGCTAATTCCTACAATGCTGTGATCTCAAGTCTTCCCAGCAACCTTGTAGGGTAGGACTAATTTTACAAGGGGGAGTTTACATGCATGTCACAGTGTGTGCTGAGTGGGCACCTTGGTCTTCCTACAGAGCATGTCCTGGATTCCTGGGCTGGCAAATCTTGGAGCCTCTGACCAAGTCGATCTCTTTGGCTAAGCTAGTCTGGAAGTTTCTGGAAAGCTGGGGTTTGTAATGCAAAATGCCATTTATTGGTTGCTTGCTGCACGTCAGGGTGGTTTATGCACTGGTGAGGCTTTAAGTTGGCCATTTGCAGCTGTGGGTTCTTTGACATTTTTTTTTAATTGCTCCACTCTGCCACTTGTAGAGTAGTGAGCTAAATGAAGTAACCAATAGATACACAGCTTCCCACTGGAGTCTCTGTGGTCACTGGTCTCTCTGGGGGGGTGGACTTTGTCTGGGTAGGTAGGTGCAACATTTTCCTTGCTGATGGCTTTTCAATAGGTCTTGGTGCGGGCTGGGGTTCCCTCAGTCTTGTCCCACCTATTTCCTCTGGGGGCCAAGGGCCTGGCCTGTTCTTTATTGTAATTTCCCTAGGAGGATCCAAATAGTGGGATCTCACAGGTGCCCACAGGACTTTCAGTCTGCAGGTGTCTTTCTGCCCTCCTTATCCCATGCAGCCTAACAGTCAGGCAGAGTGTGTGGGCAGCGGTCAAGCTTCGCTCCCTCCCATGTAGCTCCACTGGCATGTCAGGAAACACCATTGGGAGCACAGAGGCAGGGCTGGGTACCGGAACTCCAGGTGTTTACAGTGGTCAGGTCAGCGAGCGGCACCCTGTGCAGAGGACCTCATAGACTCACAGGCTTGATTCCTCGCTGAGCCACTGCCCAGCTCTGTGCCCTTGGCCAGGTCACTAAGCTTCTGAGCGGTGGCCTCATTTGTAGAATGGGGATGATGAATTGCATCATGAGGTTGCTGTGACAGTGGAATGAGAAAGTATTTGCAAAGGCTATGGCTGAGCCTGCAGCATTCCCAGCTGGCCTCGTCGTCACTGGAACTGCCTTTAGCTTTAGCACTTTCCCAGCTGGCGGTTGGGTGCCAGCGCTCCCTGAGGGCAGTCGTGGACCAGAGTCCTTCCTTTGCCACCCATCCAGTCTGACTTTGGGCATGAGGAACAGCTAGGATGGGGCCACTCCTTACCGAACTGGCTGTGTGCAGTGTGACTTGGTCCAATACAGTGGCCATCAGCCACATGTGACCAGTTATTTAAATGACCAGAAACAGTTTCTCGGTCACAGTGTTTGCACGACAGGTGCTCAGGGGCCACTTGTGGCGAGTGTCCACCACATGACAGGGCAAGGGTTAGCCTTTCCATCAAAGCCTGCAGCTGTACTGGACCAGACTCTGCCCTTAGGCTTCAAGACTGCCCCTGCTGTCCTGAACTCGAGACAGGGAGGTATTTCCTGCAGCAGAAGTTGAGTTCAGGAACACCGCCACATTCCATTTTGGTCATGCTCACCCGGCAGGGTGGTTGGTTTTCTGTCAGTCTTTATCAGCCTAAGGTAGGTGGGGAGGATTGGGATTGCCTAAACCAAAACTGTCGCCTTCTGTATCTGCCTTGCCTCTCTAGCCCATCCCTCCTGACAGAGTCCCAGGGTGATCGTCCCCATTTCAGGAGGGTTGGGCTGGCCCAGTTATCCTGACCCTCTGGCCCTGCCCATGTCCCATCTACCTGTCACTTTGCTGTGTCCCTGACTACTTGTTCCTCCTGGGTACTCTCCCCAGCCTTGGTTTCCATAATTCTCCAGAAAGCTTTCTCCTACCATCCCTGTGAGTTCCTTGTCTTGGCAGGGTCTCTCCTCAGGCAGCTTTGGGCACTTAGCCTACTCCTCCGTGGTCTTGTTTTTAAGTTCATCCTCTCTGTCTGCCACATGGCAGCTGTGCTCCTATTGGCAGCTGCACATCCAGGACAGGGTGCTAATCTGATGGTGAATACCAGGCCATAGCCCTGACTCTGCTACCTTTGGGCTCAGGGGAGCAGGGCTGAGGGTCAGCCAGAGCGTTCTGTCCCGGCTCCATGATGCTGAAGCCAGGGATGGAGACAGCCCAGCTGGGCCAGCTAGGAAAGGTCCTCAGGAGGAGATGGTGGGGTGAAAAGGGGTTGTGTTGAGTTTAGGCAGCTCGGGGGGGGCAGTGGTGGGGTGGGGCGGTGGTGGCAGATTTTGTGCTGGAGTAGGTACACCAGGAAGAGAGTTGACATTTTGCAGAGGGTATGTCTGATTTTTGTCATTGGGCATTTTTTTTTTTTCTCTCACTGCTGGATGGTCATCCCCGGGAATAGCCAGCACTAAATGATTCCCACGTTCCCAGCTGCGGAACAGTGAGTGCAGCGTTCAGCAGGGGCTCAGGAAATGGCTGCAGATGAAGGAACAAACAGAGTGAGGGCCGGCATTAAGGGCTGATGGCAATGTCTCCCTGTCCTAGGGGCAGGCGAGCGTCAGGATCCCTGCTTCCCTTCACCCTGACAGGACAGTCTGAAACGTGTCACTGTTCAGTAGGTCAGGCTGGAGAGGATGGTGGAAGGGCATGAGGGGAACCAGAGGAGTTCTCAGCTTATCCACACCCATTGCTTCCCTGTCCCCCAAACCCTGTGCCCAGGAGACCCCAGTACCTTTCCAAGTGGATGCTGTCAGTCATGCTGCCTGTTACAGGCTTCCTGGCTTGGCTGGCTGAGAGCTGTTTTCCCAAAGCCTCCCGATGATGCCACATGACTGCTCCTAGGCCCCCAGCTCACTTGGCCTTTCCCCCCGGGTTCCCCTCCCCCTGGTTCCTACACCCACAGCTATCTCATAAGTATGGCAAACAGCTGGCATGGTGGTGGTCTCTAGGGCCCATTTCTGGAGCGGTGACTATTAGATATTTGCAGTGTCATCTCTGTGACACATGCCAAGCCTGGTGTGGCTGGTATGTGTCTTGTCACTGATATCCTTATGGCTCTGATCAGTCAGGCAGGCTGGGACCGAAGCTACTTCCTCCGTGTGCCTAGCACAGTGTAAGCTCAGAGAAGCACGCAGGTGACGTGCCAACACCCGACTTGGCTTCACTAACTTCCTTCTCTCTCTCTCTCTCTCTCTCTCTCTCTCTCTCTCTCTCTCTCTCTCTCTCTCTCTCTCTCTCTCTCTCTCTCTCTTGTAGGCAACCATGAGTTCTAGCCAACCTGAACCTGGTGCCCGGGAATCCCAAGGTCCCCGTCCACAGCCCCTGTCCCAGAGTTCTTCCAGCTTGCTGTGTGAAGGCCGGGAGCAGAGACCAGAGCTGCGCAAGAGTGCCAGCAGCACTGTATGGCACGCGCAGCCGGGAGAGGCCAGCACGGGTCCCCGGACTCTGGAGGAAGAGGGGTGCCAGACCGAGAGCATGGAACAAGCGCAGGCCTCGAGCCCTTGGTCACAGGGTGGTGCTGGAGGCCACTGGAGAAGCAGGACTGTCGGCAATGTGTCTACCATGGGCATCAGTGACCTGTGTCGCCTGCGGGCTCCCAGCGTGGCAGCTGTGCAGAGGAGCCACTCAGACTTGGTCCATAGCGCCCAGACCCGGGGCCGTGGCAGTGCTCAGAAGGCCAGTCTCAGCTGTTCTGCCCTTGGCAGCTCACCTGTCCAGAGGGCTCAGCTGCAGCCTGGGAGTGTTGCTGGTCCAGATGGCCAAACTCCTGCAGTCCTGCAGAGTGACCTGGCTCCGGAGGGTGGGACTTCTAAATCAGCCCGCTTGTTGGAGGAGAGTCCGATGTCGGTGCCAACTGTAGAACTGGAAGGCACGACTGGTCTCATCAGCAGTCCCCAGGGTGGACCCAAAGCGACTGGACAGCCATCTCCCACTTCCTGCCAGGCTCTGCCCCCAGCTGCTCTGCTCTGTACGATGAGGGAGGCTACATCCGGTGGCTGCTGCCATGTTCTGGCCTTTCCCAAGTTGGTAGCATCTGTGAGCGAGTCTGGGTTGCAGGCTCAGTGTGGGATGAAATTCCACTGTAAGCTGCCTGGAGGGGTTTCTGGGCATCCTCACTGTTGTGTCCACCCTTGGGTGCCTACAGGGCTAGCCACAGAATCTGGCTCCAGGACCAAAGATGTGTGGACCATGACCTCAGCCACTGACTTGGCCTTGGGTGTGGCCTCAGCCCAGGATGCTGGAGTTCAGGTAGCTCCAGTGGCAGCCTGCAAGGCTGTGGCGACCAGCCCATCCCTGGAAGCACCTGAGACTCTGAACATGTTTCCAGAGGTAGTGCTGGCGTCCAGCCTGGAAGAAGCATCATCGCCCGTGAGGGACGTGCGGTGGGATGCTGAGGGCATGACATGGGAGGTATATGGGGCCTCAGTGGATCCCGAGGTGCTTGGCATTGCCATCCAGAAGCACCTGGAGATGCAGTTTGAGCAGCTGCAGCAGGCACCAGCCAGCGAGGACAGTCTATCTACAGAGGGCCGCAGGGGCCCTCTGCGGGCCGTCATGCAGTCGCTGCGGCGCCCCAGCTGCTGTGGCTGCTCGGGAGCTGCTCCAGAATGAGGAACTGTGACCCTGAAGCAGGTCTGGACTCTAGACTTGGTTCCAGGCCAGTGACAGGCACAGCGAAGACTCGGTGTCACCAGCACCCATCCTCTCACTTGCACGCCAGCCTTGGGCTTGCGGTTCCGTGCAGCTGGGCTGTCTTTTAAGGGCTGAATTCCCAAGAGCCACCTCTCCATTCTGGCCTCTGGACTTGGGACAGGGATTTTGCATTGCACATCGGCGAACTCCTGGTTTCTTTCCTGTAAAAGTACTTAACCTTTTGTTTAGTCCATCCGCAGAACTTGCTGTTACTCCCCCAGGAGTCTCGGTGGTTTTATTTAATAGCATTGCTAGGAAATAATGAATTTTTACATTACACAGGAGGCCCAGATGGCAGGGATGCCTTGGTCCTAAGAGAACCGACATCACTGGAGGCCCCTGCCTGCCCTGTACTGTGCTTGTCACCTACCTTGTTGTGGTTTCTCCTCTTTACTGCTCTTCTCAGATGTCACAGCACAAGCCCGGCAAGGATCTAGCTAATGAGCTCTGTGGCAGACAGTGCAAAATAGTACAGAAGGCTTAGAGCTAGGGCTAGGTTGAGCCCTGGTGCTGGCTTGAGACATCTACCTAGGCCTGCTCAGTGTAGCCAGGGACAGGAAGGACGAATTGAATGCCCGTTCTCTGCCAGGTTCTGCGGGTTTGTGAGGAGTGAGATGCAGTTACTGCACTGGAGTGCAGGGAGCAGAGCATTCCAGAAGGGCCACGTGTGTCACTTGGAGGGGGTTTCCAAAAGCTTGCCTCTGCAGGACACTATATCAGGTTCCCTGCTTCAGGAAGTGGAGAACAAGTAGCCATCTGTCCCCAGATGTGTGTCAGTGTTTGAAAGGGTGTCTTTCTCACCCTCCTCTATTGGATTTTATCCTAGCTGGTGCAGTTCTTCTGGGAGGGAGCTGGCTGGGGGTGGGGGTGGGGCTGGGCTTGGGGTTCCCACCAGGTAGGAAATAGCTAGAGCTGAGAGGCTCTGAATGTCAGGGTTAGCAATGGCCTAGGGTGGGCTGGTCAGTGAGGACTAGTAGATCTGGGTGGGGAGAGGGGACACAGGGCTTTAGCTGCCTGATTTTATTCCCCATGGGCTTCTCAAGGCCCAGGAGGATTGGGATAGTCTGTTGAAGATCCTAGACACCTGGGATAGAGCCCCTCAGATAGTTCCAGCATTACGTAGATTCAGGGCCTCAAATTTGGCTATGTTCATGTAGGACTGAAGCTGTAATAAGTTGTGCACCAGGGGCTGAAGCCACTCCTGGGATCCTGGGGCTTGAAAGATGGCTTATCTGCCCCGTCTGCAAGGTCCAGGCACTCACTGAAATAGGGAAAACTCTGCAGCATGGCTTATGGTTTAGAGTAGGAACAACATGCCAGTCAAAGAAACAAGGCAAGACAGGCTGGCTTTCTAGGTGAGAAACCTCGGTTTTATAGGTACTATGCCTTTCCCAGGGAGCAAGCACATCCTTTAAAGTCCTGGGCATGTGTGAATAGTTGTGTGATACAAGGCAAGTACTTTGTGTTCTGGGGTATGGCATGTGGTCACTCTGTCTCCTTCATACATGGGCACCAGCAGCCCAACCTTGGAGCCTGAATGGGAGTGAGCAGATCATTTTGGGGACATGGGGCAATGTCATCTTCACACAGGGCCATAGCCAAGAAGGTTGTTGACACAGAGGGCTTGGGCAGGTGGATGGAGTGGGGACAGCTTGGAGATATCCGTTCTGTTGAAATATGGTGAGCCACTGTTGGGCTGGTAGCTTTGGCTGTTCATCATCAGTTGGGAGGCTAGCTTGGGTGCCTGAGATAAGCTTTACAGAATCTGCAGAAGGTGGGGGAAGATTCCTAATCCATGTGTATGAGTCTGTTCAGTGAGAAGTCAAGGAGGCTGAGATCCTTTCATTTGGGGCAGAAGGACAGTGAGGCCACTTTCTGGGACAAGCCAGGGTGGGTGGGCAGGCTCCCGAGGTCCATGTGAAGGGAAACAGACCACAGGGCTTGGCTGGTGACAGTGAAACCCACTGCACAAAGACCTTCTCCTCTGCCACATACAGATTTCAAGTTCATTGTTGGGCAGATTGTGCCAACCTGCAATTCCCATGCTGCACCTGGTACCGAGATGAAAGCCAGGTGGCTCACTGAGGTCAGAACAGACCAGCCAGCCACCCGCTTAGCTTCATCCTGATTGATAAACATTTGTACAATGGTGCTAGAACCCAGTGCAGCCTGTGTGTTGGTTGGAACTCTTATAATACCCACTAGCTCATCACTACAGTTCCTGTTCTCAGGCATGCCTGAGCACCTGTGATTTAGTTTCTGAACTGGACCCATTCCCACTCTCTTACTGGGCCCCCTCCTGGGTAAGGCCTGATTTGGGTACTGGACCAGGGGCTGTTGAACATGGTCACTGACTTTCCTTATAGACAACTGTTCTTGGATTCTTGATTTCTGGCTGGATGTATGGGGTCCCCTTTGGAGGTGGTAGAACTCACTGTCTATGTTTGTCTAATTTTGAATTAAAAATAAATCCAAGTTGAGAGATCAGAGCTTTGCCAGGCCTTGGCAGAATTGGGGCATTGGGCATGGCTAGTCTTGTTTTCTTTGTTCTGGGAAATTCTGTCCTCTGAGGCATAAGCCCCAGAATTCAAGGGCTTTGTCTGTGTCCTGGTAGGTTTCCTCCTTCTGTGTTCTGGGACCACCCTCTTCTGTCTATTTGTTCTCCTTCTGAGGCACTTGGGGTCTTGGATAACTGAAGTCTGGCTTCCTGGACTTTACCCTCTGCCAGAACTACCTTCCTGTAGGTAACACATAAGGGGTAGAGGCCTTGTCTGGTTCCAGGCTGCATTGCAATCTTAGGGAACCACTTCAAATGTAGGCTCTTTGCCTGCTGGTGGTCACAGTGCTGGGGAGGGTAGGAAGTTGAGAGAGGTCCTCTTCCACTGTGATGTCACCTGTTCCGGTCTCTGTCCCCTGGATATGTTAGACGATTATGAGAGTGGCTGACGTGGGCCTTCCCCATGCAGGCTTTGATGATTTGCACTTGGGGTGGGCCACCATTGCCTAGGAATCTAGGGCTGGAGACTGAACTCTGGATTCACACTGATGTCACACTAGTCAAGACACCAGCCCTGAAGACCTGAAACTTCTTCAGCTCTAAAATGGAGTGGTCACAGAACTTCATCTTTGGCTTATGGGAATGGAGTTGCAGAACCCTCATCAGGCACCTCCCTCCAGTTAGTGCTGGGCTCATACACTGGCATTACCCGGTGTTTCATGGCCACGGGACAGGGCTAGTAGCTCTTTGCTGCTGACTTGGCTGCTCCCGTAGCCCATAGCCTATTCCCTTGACGTTTTTCCTTCAGCCTCATCCCAGGTTCTGCACCCCCAGTTTTGTGCCCTGTATAAGACATGTGCCTTCTGGCTGGGAGCCTTTGAAATCAGTTCCTAGAGCCACACGGGGGAGGAGATCGCTCTCTACTGGTCGGTAGAGGGGGACAGAAGCCCAGCAAGGACATGTCTTGAGGTCAATCCAGACTGAAAGCAGAACTCTGGGTCTCCAAGGGTGGACAGTAGATCCCAGGTGCTTTAGCTCTTGGATATGCAGGCTTTGAAGCTCCAGGAGCCTTGAGGAAGGTCTCTGAATGGAACCCTGGGGTCTATTCCAAAGGGAGTGCTGTGTACTTACAGGCAGGGTGCATTTGTGCCTGCATCTGCCCATCACCCAGTGCACACAACCTGGAGTCCACATGCTGTCCAGGCCTTTCCTCCAGATTCTGCTGTGCTGATGGACCTGCCAGGTGACCTTGATTAAAGGAGAAGCTTGGCCTCTGTCAGTGTTGAAATCATTCTTGTTTGTCATTTTGGTCTGGTCCAGTCTTGTCATTTGAAGCTATGACTAGTCCTTTATGAGTTCCCATCCAACTTGTCAGGCAGGGTAGGGCCACTGTGGAGTCTGGAGTGTGTCGAGACTGGTCTGGACCAGTCTGGTCTGGTTGAGACTGGTCTGGATCAGTCTGTTCCAGTCGATACTGCTCTGGTCTGGTCAAGACTGGTCTGGTCTGGTAGAATCCAGTCAAGAGCAGTCTGCTCCAGTCTAGCCCAGTCAAGTCCAGTCTTGTCCGGTCTGGTCTGGACCAGTCTTGACAAGTATATTCTTGTCTGGTACACTCTTTTCAGTCTGTTCCAGTTGAGACTGGTTTGATCTGGTCTGAATCAGTCGAGACTGGCCTGGACCAGTCTCCTCTGGTTGGGACCGGACTGGATGGGTCTGTTCCAGTTGAGACTGGTCTGGTGTGGTCCGGACAGGGCAAGACAAGTTTGGACTGGTCTGTTCCGGTTGAGACCAGCCTGCTCTGGTCCAGACTGGTCGAGACCGGTCTGGACCAGTCTAGTCTGGTTGGGACCAGTCTGGAACAGTTTGTTTCGGTTGAGATTGGTCTGGTCTGGTCTGAGGAAGGATCATCAGCTACTAAAAGATATTTACTTATAAATGCTGCAGAATTAATCCAAGATAGGTATTTTGAAAATATCTTGATTTCAAAATTGAAGTAAAAAGGTATGTTAATTTGGAGAAGAGATTTTGCTTTTGTTTCCACAGAAAATGAGAGACTGTGAATTTATTCAGAGTTAAGAAAAATCAGCTTTGATCAAGGAAGACCACCTGAGAAAATTCCGGCAAGAATAGATGGCCCAGATGTCTGAGTTCTTCATCCAGAACAGGCTCAAGACTGCTGCCTGAGATGATAAAGATTCACAGGATACTTCAGTTAGGACTTGATCATAACTCTAAGTTTTCTTTAGGTCCCTATAAGATTATCAGTGCCCCCAACCAGCTGGAAGTAGCCTGGAATACTATGCCCACATTCCCAAAAAATGGACTATGGATATCTTCCTTTTTTTTTTTTTTAAAAAAAAAAGAGGGGGAAGTGGTACAGGAGAATTGTCTGCAATCTGTCAATCATGTTTTAAATAAATGCTGATTGGCTAGGCAGGAAGTATAGGCAGGAAAACCAGACAGGAAGTAGAAATGCAATGAGAACAGGAGAATTATGGGAAGATTGACATTGATTCCTCCCACTCTTGCCCAGACCACCGAAGAAGCAGGATGTGACCTTCCAGCTGAAAAAGGTACCGAGCCATATGGCAAAAATAGACCAGAATAATGGGTTAATATAAGCTACAAGAGCTAATAAGTAGCCTGAGCTAATCGGCCAATCAGTTTTATAGAGATCTCTGTGTGATTTTCTTTGGGGCTAAACAGCTATGGGAACAGGATGGAACATAAACCCCAACAAACAGGTCCCTCATGTTACATAGGCTACAATCCTCAGCCCCAGAGAAGCTAGGTATCAAGGAGGACTCTAAGAAGGATGCGTGTATTTCCATGGGAAGAGGAAATAGATGAGATGTCCTGAGTAAACTGGAGGTGAGGGGAACACAGTGGGGAGGAATATAGAGAGCTGCAGAGAGACATTGGATAATAGAGAAAAACTTCTGAATTAAATCAATCTGTCTACTTTAAGGATGTGCTGACCTCAGAATGGAAATGAGGATATATATTACATTGGGAAAGAGGTTTTGTGTTTGTTTCCATAGGAAAAGAAAAGTTATGGATACCATCAAAATTGATAAAGATTGTATTCAAACAGGAGAGACTTCTTGATTAGGAGAGAGGCAATAGCTCATCAAACACCTTGGCCATTCAATACAAACTTATAAGACTAAAAATGCCTTGCATTTGATCAGGCACAAAAAATATTTTAAAAATTCTTATTAAACAATAATACTTTTTAAATAAATAAATAAATAAATAAGAATCTATTCTATTAAAAAAAGAAGGATTAGGAGGTGTGACCTTGTTGGAGGAAGTGTGTCACTAGGGACTAAGCCTCT